TTCTCACTCTAACCCACTGTTAGTTTTAATAATCTTTCTTTGTTCAACTGATCTATACGGGTGCAACAAAGACTTACTAGCTTCTATTGTTCTCTTTATAAAGGAAGGAAAAAGATAGAGTGATATATTGTGGGTGTGATTGTGCAACTTTCTCACTCTAACTCACTGTCATTTTACCCAATCTTTCTTTATTCAACTCGTTTATAAAATTGCAAACAAATTTGTACTTAAGCATAGGAAACAAAAATGGCGGTTTGTTTGACGTTTTGATCGTATATACGAGGAGAAAAAAATGTTTCTTTTATTCTAACAATAATAATATACCTAAATAACAAAAATGGCGGTTTGTTTGACGTTTTGATCGTATATACGAGGAGAAAAAAATGTTTCTTTTATTCTAACAATAATAATATACCTAAATAACAAAAATGGCGGTTTGTTTGACGTTTTGATCGTATATACGAGGAGAAAAAAATGTTTCTTTTATTCTAACAATAATAATATACCTAAATAACAAAAATGGCGGTTTGTTTGACGTTTTGATCGTATATACGAGGAGAAAAAAATGTTTCTTTCAATCTAACAATAATAATATACCTAAATAACAAAAATGGCCGTTTGTTTGACATTTTGATCGTATATACGAGGAGAAAAAAATGTTTCTTTTATTCTAACAATAATAATATACCTAAATAACAAAAATGGCCGTTTGTTTGACGTTTCAATATCGCATATACGAGTAGAAATAAAAGTTTCTTTTGTACTAAATAATAATTATATAAAAATTCATCATTAGCGATTCCGAATGGGTTTCTTAAAATAAAGTTAAAAAACGGGTTTCCATTTCCAATATAAGGTCGTTTATTCTCTCTTTTCCATTCCGATTGATAAAACCGGCCCGTTATTTATCGGTCCTTCGGCGACGGACCGAAACTAATGGACGCGGGGAGACGATTTATGCAATGCCCCTCGTATATACGTATATTTAGATAAATGTGTTTTTTTTTTCTTTTTTCTTCGAGATAAGAGTCGATGCGTAATCGATGCGATTATTTCGATCGATTGCTAATCGGTTAATTGGAATTGATGAGGTGTTTTGATTTTTTTTTTGTTGTAAATACATGGAAAAAGTTAGAATTGATTTTTAGTGTGGTTTTTTAAAAAAGTTCAATTTTCTCCGAAATTAATCGCGAGATAAAAAGCGAAATTTTTATCGTTTTATAGAAAAAACAATTCTCAACAACATAAAATAATCAAAAATTTCCAAAACTTCCAATATTTCCTAGTTATTTTGACTTTTGTTGGTATAACTACATGAAATAAAAATACGTGCAATTCACTAAAAAACTTCAAATCTCCAGAACCAATCGAGATTATAGAACGAAACATTTATAGTTTTATAGAAAAAACAATTTCTAACAACTTTTAAAGAATAAATTTTTTTCAAAAACCTCAAAATTTCCTGGATATTTTGACTTTTTTGGTATAACTACATGAAATAAAAATGCGTGCAACTTCATAAATAACCTCAAATATTTCGATAACCAATCCAGATAATAGAACGAAATCTTCATCGTTTTATAGAAAAAACAATTCCTAACAACTTTTAAGGAATACATTTTTTTCAAAAACCCCAAAATTTCCTAGATATTTTGACTTTTTTAGTACAAATACATGAACAAAAGCGAATTTTTAAGGGCAACTCTTTATGGTAACTTCAATTATCTAGAAAACCATTCAAGATTTAAAAACGAAATCACCATTATTTTATAGAAAAAAACCATTCTCAACAACATAAAATAATCAAAAATTTCCAAAGCTTCCAATATTTTCTAATTATTTTGACTTTTTTGGTAGCTATAACTACATGAAATAAAAATACGTGTAATTTTCTAAAAAACTACAAATATCTCAAAAATCAATCTAGATTATAGAACAAAATCTTCATCTATTTATAGAAAAAACAATTCTATACAACTTTCAAAGATTCAAAATTTTTTTAAAATATCCCTAATTTCCTAGATAGTTTTACTTTTTTGGTATAACCACATGAAGAAAAGAAATGGTGCAATTCTTTAAATAACTTCAATTATCTCCAAAATCAGTCAAGATTAAAAAGCTAAAACTTCACCATTTTATAGAAAAAACAATTCTCTACAACTTTCAAAGAATCAAAAATTTTTCAAATACCTCTAATTTCTTAGATATTTTGACCTTTTTAATATAACTAGGTATATGAAGACAAGAAAAATTAGTGCAATTCTTTTAAAAAACCTTAATTACCTTCAAAATTAATCGATATTGACAAATGAAATGTTCATCATTTTATAGAAAAAGCAATTTTACAACCTCAAAAATAAATATTTTAAAAAATTTTCAAAATTTCCTAGATATTTCTACATTTTTAGTAGATATAACTACACGAAGAAAAAGACTAATTTTAGTGCAAGTCTTCAAAAAACCTTAATTATCTCGAAAACTAATGAACACAAAAAAACCAAACATTCATCATTTTATAGAATAAACAATTCTCTACAACTTTCAAAGAATCAAAAATTCCCAAAAACCCCAAAATTTCCAAGATATTTCCACTTTTTCGAATACAAACACAGCAAATTTCATCAACCATAACCACCTTCCGCCGGACAAAACCCCCCGCTCAATCGATTCCCAATCGATTCCCAATCGATTACAAATCCGAAATCGATCACACTACAATTCTCACACACGAATTTCCACGCAAAACAAACAAAACGCCGCGCTCTTTTCATCGCCGAATAAACATTTACTCGAAAACCTTCTAAACATTTATTTAACGCATCTTTCGGCGGATAATCCGAATAAAAGCGAAAATAAAAACAAATCGAAAAAAAAAAAATGTTCCCGTGTGATATGTTTTGATTTGCGTAATGTAAAATGCATTTAGCCGAGTGACGGGTCCCGTTTAGTTTCTGATGATTTAAGATAATGCGATGATGACACGTGTTCGGAAAATGTACTCTAACTTCTAGAATTAATGGAATTTCTAAATTTACGCGCGTGTGTTCGTTTCACGGACGGTTTCCGACTCGACTTTTGTTTATACGAGAGAGTCGGACTCGATAAAACCTGTCATATACGGGGTGTTGTAACGATAAAAGAATGTTGGGTATACTGGGCTGGATGGCTTTACTAAAAATTACTACAATTCGAAAAGCAGTCGGGATAAAAATACGAAATTTTCATCATTTTATAGAAAAAACAATTCTCTATAACTTTCAAAGAATCAAAATTTTTCTAAATACCTCTAATTTCTTAGATATTTCGACTTTTGGTGTGAAACTACAAGAAAAAAAATGTTGTAGTTCTTTAAAAAACTTCAATTATCTCCAAAAACAATCGAGATAAAATATCGAAATTTTCATCATTTTATAGAAAAAACAATTCTCTACAACTTTCAAAGAATCAAAATTTTTCTAAATACCTCTAATTTCTTAGATATTTCGACTTTTGGTATGAAACTACAAGAAAAAAAATAGTGCAGTTCGTTAAAAAACTTCAATTATCTCCAAAAACAATCGAGATAAAATATCGAAATTTTCATCGCTTTATAGAAAAAAAACTTCTCTACAACTTTCAAAGAATCAAAATTTTTCTAAATACTTCTAATTTCTTAGATATTTCGACTTTTGGTATGAAACTACAAGAAAAAAAATATTGTAGTTCTTTAAAAAACTTCAATTATCTCCAAAAACAATCGAGATAAAATATCGAAATCTTCATAATTTTATAAAAAAACAATTCTCTACAACTTTCAAAGAATCATATTTTTTTTAAATACCCCTAATTTCCTAGATATTTCGACTTTTGGTATGAAACTACAAGAAAAAAAAAATAGTGCAGTTCTTAAAAAAACTTCAATTATCTCCAAAAACAATCGAGATAAAATATCGAAATTTTCATCGCTTTATAGAAAAAAAACTTCTCTACAACTTTCAAAGAATCAAAATTTTTCTAAATACCTCTAATTTCTTAGATATTTCGACTTTTGGTATGAAACTACAAGAAAAAAAATATTGTAGTTCTTTAAAAAACTTCAATTATCTCCAAAAACAATCGAGATAAAATATCGAAATCTTCATAATTTTATAAAAAAAACAATTCTCTACAACTTTCAAAGAATCATATTTTTTTTTTAAATACCCCTAATTTCCTAGATATTTCGACTTTTGGTATGAAACTACAAGAAAAAAAATAGTGCAGTTCTTAAAAAAACTTCAATTATCTCCAAAAACAATCGAGATAAAATATCGAAATTTCATCGCTTTATAGAAAAAAAACTTCTCTACAACTTTCAAAGAATCAAAATTTTTCTAAATACCCCTAATTTCTTAGATATTTCGACTTGTTTGGTATAACTTTTAAAAGAATTTCAATAAAAATTGTTGTAAAAGTATTTGCACTTAAATAGTTGAAATATATAGAAAATTAGAAGAATTTTGAAAATTTTTGATTCTTTAAAAGTTGTATAAAATCGATTTTTCTATAAAATGATGAAGATTTCGATATTTTATCTCAATTAGTTTTCGAGGTAATTGAAGTTTTTTAAAGAATCACTAAAATTTTGCTTTTTTGCTGTATGTTTAAAAAAGTCAAAATATCTACAAAATTTTCGGAATTTTGAAAATTTTTATTCCTAAAAATAATTTTTTAAAACGCTCTAGAATCATTTAGAAAGCTCCGGAAGCATTTAGAACGCTTCAGAATCATTTAAAACTGTCTAGAACCGTTTAGAACGCTCCGGAATCAATATAGAACTGTTAAGAACCAATTAAGAACCAATTGGAACGATCCACTATACATATATTCAAGAATTCTCAGAACGATCCTACTTCCCCAATCCCACTACAGATAATCCCACTTCTGACGATCCCACTTTTGACGATCCCACTTCTGACGATCCCACTTCTGATTTTTTGATCCCACTTCTGATCTAATAATTTTATTTGTTTTTTTTCCAGAAAAAAACCGTCGGACGAGCCATTGCGTGGGTTGCGGGGGCCAGATCCACGACCAGTACATCCTGCGGGTGGCCCCCGATCTGGAATGGCACGCGGCCTGTCTCAAATGCCAGGAATGTCAGCGGTTCCTCGACGAGTCCTGCACCTGTTTCGTCAGAGACGGGAAGACCTACTGCAAAGTCGATTACGTCAGGTAACTAGATAGTTCATGCTTTATATACAGTCGGTTTATGTACATTTTGAATGATATCCCACTTCTGATGGTGCTATTTTTTGATGATCCCACTTCTGATATCCTATTTTTGATGATCCCACTTCTGATATCCTAATTTTGATGATCCCACTTCTGATATCCTTTTTTTTGATGATCCCACTTCTGATATCTTATTTTTGATTATCCCACTTCTGATGATACCACTTCTGATTCCATTTTCATACTGATTCTGGTAAATTCACGTCAGATAACATTTCCTATTCGATTTTCCCTATCGCATTTTCTATCTACTTTGTTATCCCACTTTCTATCTAATTTTTTCTATTCCACTCTCTATACTATTTTCTATCCCTCTTTTGATTCCACACCTGATGCCCCAATTCTTATGCCACTTCCTATCTAACTTTTTCTACCACATCCCCTATTCAATTTCCCCTATCCCACTACTGATGATCCCACTTCTGTTAATCCCACTTCCCCTATCCCACTTTATATGATCCCACTTATGATTCCACTTCTTATCCTACTTCTTATAAACCCATTTCTTATACCATTTCTTATCCCACTTCCCCTATTCCACTTCTGATGATCCCACTTCTTATCACATTTCCCCTATCCCACTTCTGATGATCCCATTTCTTATCCCACTTCATTTTTCTAGCTTTTGTTGTCCCCATTTCTTATCCCACTTCCCCTATTCCACTTCTGATGATCCCACTTCTTATCCCACTTCTTATCCCACTTCTTATCCCACTTCTTATCCCACTTCTTATCCCACTTCTTATCCCACTTCTTATCCCACTTCATCTTTCTAGCTTCTGTTGACCCCATTTCTTATCCCACTTCCCCTATTCCACTTCTGATGATCCCACTTCTTATCCCACTTCTTATCCCACTTCATCTTTCTAGCTTCTGTTGACCCCATTTCTTATCCCACTTCCCCTGTCCCACTTCTGATGATCCCACTTCTGATCCCACTTCTGATCCCACTTCTGCTTCTCCTTCCGATCCCACTTCTGATAGTTTTCTCTCTTGAAACGTTCCCTATATACGGGGTGAAGTTATTGTAATATTCCCACTTTCCACTAATACATAGTAGATACCTATATAAAGTGGTTCACCCTGTATATATGTATTTATACATATCTAGCGGTCCAAAATTAGCGCAAATAGAAAACAAAAACCAAAAACCGGATATGTCAAAATAGGACAGGCGAAATTGACGCGAGTGAAAGCCTACTGCGACCACACGTAGATTTAAATAAATAAACATACGGGGGACATTCGATATTTTCCGAACCGGAGGTTACAAAGTCGCGTATTGTACAAACAATTCGTTGGGGCGTAGGAGATGAGATGAACTAAAAAAAAAAAAAATATTATAGGAAGAAGAAGATGATGAAGAAAAAGGGGAGTAGATAAGATACACCCGGTGTGAGGCCCACCTACGAATAATTCCGTAGGGTGAAAAAAGTAAAATTACAGGGTGGGCTCAACTCGAGTTTTTGTATTAATAAACATTGCATTATTCACTAGTACACTAGTGATACTAGAATAGTTTTATAGGCGACAAATCGCCGAAACAAATCTTCATATTCACTTATTTCAATTTCTTCTTTTTTTATTACCTAATTATCGAATTGTACAATTTTATTTTATTCGGGGCGACAAGTTACAAGCAACATTTCACTGAAACTTTTCTTCTTTTTCTATTGACATTATTTATATTTTTACATGGGTCACTAGATCACTAGATCTCAAATATTAGCAATTACTAGAGATAAGATAAGATTAGATAAGTTTCCCTGGCGACAAGCTCCCAGCAACATATCACTGGAACCTCAATATCTTTTTGCATTGACAATATTTATAGTTTTACCTGGATCACTAGATCACTAGGTTTCAAATATTAGCAGTATTTTTAGACAGAAGATAAGTTCTCAGCAACATATCACTGGAACTTCAATATCTTTTTGCATTGACATTATTTATAGTCTTACCTGGGTCACTAGATCACTTGGTCTCAAATAGTAACAGTGTTATTAGAGATAAAATAAGTTCCCCTGACGATAAGTTTCCAGCAACATATCCTGTGATATTCTTCTTTTTTGACAAAAATTTTGACAATAGTCTTACTCATAGGTCACTAGATACAACTATTACTATAGCGTTATTATAGAGAGAGAGGGACATCCCTGGTGACAAGTTCCCAGCAACATGTCACTGAAACCTATCTTTGTTTTTTGACATTCTTGCTCCTATGAGTGCACTAGATACAAATATAACTAGTACATTATTAGAGGGAGACATATCACTGGCGCCAAGTTTCTAGCAACATGTTTTCTAAAAAATGTCGCGTTTTGTTCCAGATTGTTCAGGACAAAATGCGAGAAATGTTAATATAGTATTATTAAAAGAAGAATTATCACTGGCGTCAAGTTTCCAGCAACATGTTCTATAAAAAAATGTCGCTTCTAGATTGTTCAAGACGAAATGCGACAAATGTCTTAATTATTAGTACTATTTATAGTATTATTGAAAGAAGATATCGCTGGCGCCAAGTTTCCAGCAACATATTCTCTAAAAAATGTTGCGTTCTCTTCCAGATTGTTCGCCACGAAATGCGACACATGTTACTTTAGTATTGTTGAAAGAAGATATATCACTGGCGCCAAGTTTCTAGCAACATATTCTCTAAAAAATGTCGCATTTTCTTTCACATTGTTTAGGAAGAAATGCGACAAATGTCCTTATACTATTGTTGAAAGAAGATATATCACTGGCGCCAAGTTTTTAGCAACATATTCTCCAAAAACAAAGCGTTCCTTTCTAGATTGTTCGCAACGAAATGCGACAAATGTTACTTTAGTATTGTTGAAAGAAGATATATCACTGGCGCCAAGTTTTTAGCAACATATTCTCTAAAAACAAAGCGTTCCTTTCTAGATTGTTCGCAACGAAATGCGACAAATGTTACTATAGTATTGTTGAAAGAAGATATATCACTGGCGCCAAGTTTCTAGCAACATATTCTGTAAAAAAAATTTTGTTCCAGATTGTTCGGCACGAAATGCGACAAGTGCGGGCTGTCGTTCAGCAAGAGCGACTTCGTGATGCGCGCCAAGAGCAAAATCTACCACATCGAGTGCTTCAGGTGTCGCGCCTGCGCCAGGCAGCTGGTGCCCGGCGACGAGTTCGCGCTGCGCGACGGCGGCGTGCTCTACTGCAAGGAGGACCACGACGCCATGGAGAAGACGACGGCGGCGACGGCGGCGGCGGCGCCGACCGGCGCCCACTTGGCGCCGAGCGGCGAAAGCAACAACAACACGAGCCTGAGCAATAATAATCATAATAGCAATTCGACGGAGTTGGGGTGCATGTCAGGTGGGTGTTGTCGGGATTTTTGGGGGGTTTTGGGGTTGTTGGTATTTTGGAGATTTTGGAAATTTTTGGGATTTTTGAGATTTGACGTTTGACGTTTTTAGACGTTTTTTCGTCTACCTTTTTTCACATTTTTTTAAAAATTATTTACATTTTCTGACATTAACGTTTTTTTGACATTGTGTGACCATATTTTGGCCATATTTTGGCCATATTTTGGCCATATTTTGGTCACATTTTGACCATATTTTGATCATATTTTGACCATATTTTGACCATATTTTGACCATATTTTGACCATATTTTGACCATATTTTGACCATATTTTGACCATATTTTGACCATATTTTGACCATATTTTGACCATATTTTGACCATATTTTGACCATATTTTGACCATATTTTGACCATATTTTGACCATATTTTGACCATATTTTGACCATATTTTGACCATATTTTGACCATATTTTGACCATATTTTGACCATATTTTGACCATATTTTGACCATATTTTGACCATATTTTGACCATATTTTGACCATATTTTGACTATATTTTAATCATATTTTGACATTTTTTGACGTTTTTTTGACATTGTTCGACTTTTTTTCACAATATTTGACCATTTTTGACAATATTTTCACCATACTCTGACCGTTTTTTGAAATTTTCTGACGTTTTTTTGACGTATTTTGTCATTTTATTGACGGGTTTTGACATTTTTTGATATTTTCTGACATTTTCTAACATTTTCTGACATTTTCTTACAGTTTCTGACATTTTTTGACATTTTTCTTGAAATCGTCATTAAATGACAGACGACAATATTGTCAGTTATCATCGCAGAAAACTTAAAGGAAAAACAATTGGTAGATATACTAATATACAACAGATAAAATGCAAAATGACAGTTGACAATTGACAGTAGTTAGTTGACATTAGATAATTAGCATTGGATAGTTGTTATTAGACAATTGACATTATAGAGAGTTACGATAATAGATAGTTGAAAGTTGAGTTAGTTGACATTTGTCAGTTGTTATCAGACAATTGACGTTAGAGAGTTGCGATAGTAGACAGCTGAAAGTAGACAGTTGACATTATATAGACAATTGACGTTAGAGAGTTGCGATAGTAGACAGTTGACATTATATAGACAGTTGTTATTAGACACTTGACGTTAGAGAGTTGCGATAGTAGACAGTTGAAAGTAGACAGTTGACATTATATAGACAGTTGTTATTAGACAATTGACGTTAGACAGTTAACACTACTTATTACTTATTATAGAACGCTCCAGAATAATTTAAAACTGTCTAGAATCTAGATAGTCCCGGAACCACTTAGAACTGTCTAGAACGAAAGATGGCAACCTAATAATAAGAAGAATAATGTAACAATTTATTTCGAAAATGGCGCTTTTTCACCTTTCAACTTTTCACCTTACCCTCATATAAAAACCAATCTAGTCGGCCGGTTAAACAAAACTGACGTTTCATACGTCAATTATTTATTAGAAAAATAACGATGACGTAACGGTATATACAACTATAAGTATACATATGTACATGTTAGGTCCGGTTTCTCCCCGATAAATGCGTTAGAGCACGCTGGGATTAACGTGTCCGATGGTCCGAGCGTGTATATACGGGGGGATTTAGAGAAGTGCGAAACGCTGGTCATTCGGGGATTAACCGGGGACGTTATAAAGAGGATACATATCGGTCTTTTGTGAATATTATAACAAAGCCTACTTTGTTAATTGGGCAGAGTGAATGGCCGAGCGATTACCGAGCGATTACCGAGCGATTACCGAGCGATTACCGATCGTGTCCGACGAATAAAAGGGAATCGCTAATTTCGATGTAATAATTGATTAGATAGGTGTTGTTTGTTCGGCATGTGCTGGGGATTTTTTCGTGTAACGGTCGGTGGTCTTGTACTTCTTAAGTACTTGTGTGGAATTTAAATGTCGAAGTGTTAAAATGGGTGTCAAAATGGGTGTCGAAATGGGTGTCAAAATGGGTGTCAAAATAGGTGTCAAAATGAGTGTCAAAATGAGTGTCAAAATGAGCGTAAAAATGAGTGTCAAAATGAGTGTCAAAATGAGTGTCAAAATGGGTGTCAAAATAGGTGTCAAAATGAGTGTCAAAATGAGTGTCAAAATGAGTGTCAAAATTAGTGTCAAAAGAAATGTCAAAAGGGGTGTCAAAAGAAATGTGAAAAATGTGAAAAATGTAAAAAATGTGAAAAATGATTGTTCTAGACAATTCTGAATAGTTCTGGAGCGTTCTAAATGATTCTAGACAGTTTGAAATTATTCTGGAGCGTTCTATAATAAGTAGTGTCAACTATCTAACGTCAATTGTCTAATAACAATTGTCTAACATCAACTATCTACTATCGCAACTCTATGACGTCAATTCTATGATTCTGACTATGCTGTCAACTGTCTACTATCAACTCTCTAACGTCAATTGTCTAATAACAAGTGTCTATATAATGTCAACTATCTACTTTCAACTGTCTACTATCGCAACTCTCTAACGTTAATTGTCTAATGTCAACTATCTCAACTCTATGACGTAAATTCTATGATTCTGACTATGCTGTCAACTGTCTACTATCAACTCTCTAACGTCAATTGTCTGATAACAACTGACTAACGTCAAACATCTACATCAATTGTCTAATGATCAGCTGTAACTGTTTAATTTCTAACAAGTATCTACTGTCAACTATTTAATATCAACGGTCTACTGTCATTCCAAATAGCCCATAAACCGCCAAGACCTAAATACGAAGAAGCAGAACTGTCTATTGTCAATTTATTGTCAACTGCCAAATGTCAAATGTCTATTATCTGTACACTTGAACTATTGTATAAATATACCTATTGTTCTTGTATAACAATTGTTCTTGTAAACTGTTTTCTGCGATAATAACTGACGTTATTATATCAACTGTCATTAGTGTCAGCTGTCATTTGATGACAATTTATAACTGTCTACTGTCACAACTGAAATTGTCCTTATATAAATCGTGCATCTAGTGTATACAAAAATCGTTTTTTTTTCTCTGTTATTTGGATATAGGTGTATCTTTTTTTGTTCGGTTTTTGTCCATTTCACGGTTGTTTTCTCTTTTATTTTACGCCAACTGTCAAATGTCTATTATCTGCACATTTGAACTACTGTATAAATATACCTATAACAATTGTTATTGTAAACTGCTTTCTGCGATAATAACTGACATTATTATATCAACTGTCATTAGCGTCAGCTGTCAATTGATGACAATTTATAACTGTCTACTGTCACAACTGAAATTGTCCTTAGTGTATACAAAAATCGTTTTTTTTTCTCTGTTATTTGGATATAGGTGTATCTTTTTTTGTTCGGTTTTTGTCCATTTCACGGTTGTTTTCTCTTTTATTTTATTTATTTTCTTCGGGTACGTGCAACTCGCTTTGGGATCGCCTTTGAAGTCGCCTTAAGCCCACGGTCAATATTTACCCGGGCGAAACGCCTACTCGATATTGACGACGAGAGAGAGAGAGAAAAAAAAAATAATAAAATACGCGGACGCGGTAAAAAAGCCGAAAAGGCGGCCGTGACGCTCTCGCTCGGCTTCTCCAAACACTCGAACGGGTCGCGGTAGGCCGTTTTTCAGTTGTTTTTTTTTTTCTTGTTCTTCGTTTTCCGTCCTCTACGCGTTCGCTCTTCTTCTTCTTCTTTTTTTCTATATAAATGTGGGTACTTTCGTTGTCGCGTCCGTAAAATGTTTGTATACGGTTCGCGTTTTGTTTGCGTGGCCGGAAGACCACCTCGGGCGGAGGCCGGCTTGTTTGTTTTCTATCGAACAGGCCTTTAATTCATTTATTTTATGTGTATATACAGTGCATTTCTTTAATGTCCCCCCCCCACTTTTATTTTTTGAACGGATCAACTTAGAAAATTGAAATTTGGGATAATGAAACTAATGCATGATTACTATATTTTGGAGTAAAATTGACAGATGAAAATTTCAAGATGGCCAATTATTAAATGTCCGCCATTTTGTAGCAGGTGCAGATATTGACTTTATATTCCAGGGTTGTAGAGTATTTGTCAGGAGCTTCAAAATGATGTATCACAAGACCCCCCTTTCCATTTAAATTTATTTTCCAAGATGGCGCCCAGTCGCCATCTTGAAATTTTCGTCTGTCAATTTTACTCCAAAATATAGTAATCATGCATTAGTTTCATTATCCCAAATTTCAATTTTCTAAGTTGATCCGTTCAAAAAATAAAAGGGGGGGGACATTAAAGAAATGCACTGTATATACGAAGGTGCGTATCTAGGCGGCCGTGTTTCAACTTTCTTCCTTATAGAAACATTTCTTTTACGTTATTAATTAATCCTCGTATATATTATTCACCATTTGCTAACGTCATTGGTCTGTCAATGTCGCAAAAAACTTACAAGATGGCCGGTTTGTTTTGTTTACGTTTCTCCAAAATGACATTGTCATGACATTGTTATTGGACAATTGACATTCGAGAGTTAATATAATAGACAGTTGAAAGTTGATATAATTGCAAGAGACAGTTTTTATTAGACAATTGACATTAGAGACTCGATAGTAGACAGCTTTTATTAGACAATTGACATTAGATAGTGACGATCACAGACAGTTGAAAGTTGATATAATTGACATTAGACAGTTGTTATTAGACAATTGACATTAGAGACTCGATAGTAGACAGCTCTTATTAGACAATTGACATTAGAAAGTGACGATCACAGACAGTTGAAAGTTGATATAATTGACATTAGACAGTTTTTATTAGACAATTGACATTAGAGACTCGATAGTAGACAGCTTTTATTAGACAATTGACATTAGAGAGTGACGATCACAGACAGTTGAAAGTTGATATAATTGACATTAGACAGTTGTTATTAGACAATTGACATTAGAGACTCGATAGTAGACAGCTCTTATTAGACAATTGACATTAGAGAGTGACGATCACAGACAGTTGAAAGTTGATATAATTGACATTAGACAGTTTTTATTAGACAATTGACATTAAAAACTCGATAGTAGACAGCTCTTATTAGACAATTGACATTAGAGACTCGACAGTAGACATTTTTTTTTAGACAATTGACATTAGAGAGTGACGATCACAGACAGTTGAAAGTTGATATAATTGACATTAGACAGTTGTTATTAGACAATTGACATTAAAAACTCGATAGTAGACAGATCTTATTAGACAATTGACATTAGAGAGTGACGATAATAGACAGTTGAAAGTTGATATAATTGACATTAGACAGTTGTTATTAAACAATTGACATTAAAGACTCGATAGTAGACAGTTTTTATTAGACAATTGACATTCGAGAGTTAATATAATAGACAGTTGAAAGTTGATATAATTGACATTAGACAGTTGTTATTAGACAATTGACATTAGAGAGTTAAGATAATAGACAGTTGAAAGTTGATATAGTTGACATTAGACAGTTTTTATTAGATAATTGACATAAGAGAGTTAAGATAATAGACTGTTGAAAGTTGGTATAGTTGACATTAGACAGTTGACAGCAAAAATACTCATCTAACGACACTTTAATGCGACAATTAATGTAGCATATCAATACAGCTTGTCCCGGGCCATTATCTTATAGATAGCAACGTATCTATATTACTATACTACTCGTATATACAGAATGTCCTGTGACAAATCTAATCAATCAGTATACCAAACATACGTTTATAATTTTCAGATTCGGGTTCGGAAAGCGCCTCGTAACAAATTTTATTAGACAATTGACTTTAGACAGTTGACATTAGACAGTTGACATTAGACAGTTGACATTCTAAATACGACAATTATTATGTATAACCCATACAGCTTGTCCTAGACAAAGCAACGTATCTATATTACTATATACTCTACTCGTATATACAGGTTGTCCTGTGAAAAATCCGAAACCATTTACTATACCTAACATATATGTTAATAATTTCCAGATTCTGGCTCGGAAAGCGGCTCGCACAAGGGCGGCGGCGGCGGCGGCGGCGGCCTACGCAAATCCGGCGCCGGCGGCGTCGGAAGCGGCGGCGGCGGCGGCAGCGAAGGAAAACCGACGCGTGTTCGAACCGTCTTGAACGAGAAACAATTGCACACGTTACGTACGTGTTACGCGGCCAATCCGCGTCCCGACGCCCTCATGAAGGAGCAACTGGTCGAGATGACTGGTCTGTCGCCGCGCGTCATCAGAGTCTGGTTCCAGAACAAACGGTGCAAGGATAAGAAGAAGACCATTTTGATGAAGCAGCAGATGCAACAGGAGAAGGTTGGTTGTTTTAGATTTATTATATTTATTTGATTTTATGTCTATAGATAGTGAATTATTTGCTAAATATATTCGAGTAATTAATGAACGGACCAGGTATTCGAGGTTGCTTCTTTTTATAAGTTTTATAAGTATAGGTTTTAGGTTGGTTGTTATGGAGTAACTAAGGATATTCTTTCAATTTAGAGTTTAACATTAGTTGTTATGGAGTAAATAAGGAAAGTTTTACACATTTGACAGTTTTACATTGGTTGGTATGGAGTAACTAAGGAGATTCATTCACATTTGACAGTTTTACAATGGTTGTTATGGAGTAACTAAGGAGATTCTTTTAATTTGACAATTTTACATTGGTTGTTATGGAGTAACTAAGGAGATTCTTTACAATTTGACACTTTTACATTGGTTGTTATGGAGTAACTAAAGAGATTCTTTCAATTGATAGTTTTACATTGGTTGTTATGGAGTAACTAAGGAGATTCTTTTAATTTAACAGTTTAAAATTGGTTGTTATGGAGTAATTAAAGAGATTCTTTCACACTTGACAGTTTTACATTGGTTGTTTTGGAGTAACAAAGGAGATTCATTCAACTAGACAGTTTTACATTGGTTGTTATGGAGTAACTAAGGAGATTCTTTACAATTTGACACTTTTACATTGGTTGTTATGGAGTAACTAACGACATTCTTTCAATTTGACAGTTTTACATTGGTTGTTATGAAGTAACTAAGGAGATTCTTTCATATGACAATATTACATTGGTTGTTATGAAGTAACGAAGAAGATTCTTTCAACTTGACAGGTTAACATTTATTGTTATGGAGTAACTAAGGAGATTTTTTCACATTTGACAGTTTTAGATTGGTTGTTATGGAGTAACTAAGGAGATTCTTTCAATTTGACAGTTTTACATTGGTTGTTATGGAGTAACTAACGACATTCTTTCAATTTGACAGTTTTACATTGGTTGTTATGAAGTAACTAAGGAGATTCTTTCAACTTGACAGTTTAACATTGATTGTTATGGAGTAACTAAGCACTTTGTTTACTTTAAAAAAAACTCCCTAAACACTTATACAAGTTTAAAGAAAGACCTCGAATACGGGCCTACATGAAGTCGAACAAAGAAAGATTGTTATTATTAAGAAAATAACATATTGATTAGAACGAAAGAGAAAAACATTACCACAATTTCCCCATCAATAAGTACCACTCTTTCCCTCAGCCCTTTTTCCAAAAAAAAAACTTAATTCATTACTAAATTCACGTCACAAAAATATGACAATAAAATCCATACAATTTGTAAAACCACCTATTATAATCTTCAAAAAAAAAATTTTTTTCAAACAATACAAATACATATCTTCATAAAAAAAAGAACCGGAATATTAACCATATTTTTCCACGTACATAATCTACCTCTACCCGAAAACAAATAGCGTATATCCCCCTCTCGCGCGGGGACCGAAGGGGGGGGAAATTCCCTATCGATCACCCGCGGCTCTCCCCCCACCCCACAACCTCCCCCCTCAGCCGTTCCGCTCCCGGTTCAACAGTTCGAATCCCAAAGGGGGCGTCGCCCCGCCTCCTCGCCTCTCCGCCAATCGCGACCAACTCCTCCTTTCCCCCCCCTCGAACCCTTCTCTCCCCCTTTGAATTCTCCTCTCCTGCCCTCTACATCGAGCGAGTCGATATCTCTTGGCGTGCCGTGCATCTCTCTGCATGCGCTTTTGCTGCCCGTGGAGGATCGATTGGATGAAACGAATGAGAACAAAAAAAAATATATAGTAGGTTGTAGAAATGAAGAATGAAGTAAAAAATGTATTTGTCTAGATTGGTACGATGGAAGATGATGGGGATGTGGGAAAATTGAAGGGGATTTGTTGAATATCTTGTACTGTTTTATATATCGTTGTGTATTTCGTATGAAATTGTATTTTCTTTCTATGTTCTGTTTTTATGTTCCATCTATGTTCTCTCCTATGTTCTACCTATCATATTCTATCAATTCTATCAATGTTCTATCTTTGTTATTATCCTATGTTTTATCTATGTAGGTACGTTTATTTTTTGTTCTATCCTACTCGTATATGTTCTATCAATCTATGTTCTATCTTTGTTCTATACTAGGTTCTATATGTGATGTTCTATCTAGCTCTGTATGTTCTATCCTCTTTTCTATTTATGTTTAATCTACCATCTATCTTTTTTCTATTCTATGTTCTGTTTTATCTACACTGAACCAAATAAGTACTTAATATTAAAGAAAAAGTGCCTTAATCCAATGATCACCAGTTATGGATTTACCTCCGAAGAACGAATTCATTGTAACAATGAATAGTGATTCATTAATTCAATGATTTGCACTTAATTGATTCAATGCTGTGTTGTACTAATTTAATGTAGGGTTTACATAATATTTATGCATTATTATTCTTTGTATCAATGCATTATGATTCCTAGTTTTAAAGAAATATATTCATTGATATAATAATTTTCCGGTAATTGATCTAAGGTAATTTAGTCTTTGAATTTATGAACTGTAATCTTTGAATTTATGAAATGTAATCTTTGAATTAAGGATCATTGTACATAGGGTAGGGTAGGGTCGGGTGAAATTTAAATAAAATACAAGTGAATAACAAAATAAACATATAATTTTTATAAAAGTAAAAAAGAAAATCAGATAAATATCATCCATCTATAAATAAATGGCAACAAATTATATTACATTTCCTTATTAAAAAATATGTAGCACTCACTTTCTGATATTTCTTCTTTATTTATGCCACGAAGATTCCTTGACCTGTTTGTCTTTCACATTAGTTGAAAGAAATTGATGAATAACTTTAAAGTTAATGTTCCACTTATCGATTAAATCTTCATGTTTAAAAGCAACATCGAAATCGAAGAGCATCTAAAAAAGAACTTTTAGGAAAAATATGATACGTGAAAAAATCAATCACTTACAAATCTATAGCCAGATGGTTTGGCGTAAAATGGCCACTCCTTTAAAATTTCTTCTACTGAATTAGCTTGTTTAACTAACTGAAGTCTGGCATTGGAGCACCCTTTCCAAACGTTGTCGAATTCCTCGGCAGACAAATTATCGAACTTCAGAGATTTAATACAGGATTCAGCATCTGATTCAGCATCTGGACAAAATTTAAAAATGGCTATTAGAAACACAATTTTATTTCAAATAATTTGAACTTACCTGCTAGCTCTTTACCGTGAATTTCAATTAATTTGTCTACCAGTGGAGCATTATTGTTTCTCTTACTTCCAACGCAATTTACGCTGTTTTTATTGAGTTTGATGCATTTTGGTATTTGGAATACAATTTTCCCCGTTTAGCAGCGCGGTAATATTCCTGAAAAAAAATCAAAATTTCGTAACAAGTTCAGTTTAAAGAAGTATGCTACTTACAAGTTTCTCATTAGGAAATCGTTCGATGATCTCTTTCTCGATTTTATGACTTTGTGAGAGTGTCATTCTCAAACCATTTTCTTGAAAGTATTGCACAATAAATTGGAACAATACAACCGGATTGAACTTGTCACTTTATTCAACCGCGAACTTAGATGCGAATGGCGCTAAACCGGCAAATTAGGCGGCTTAGAGGGTGGGGACAATAAAAGCGTTCCTTAAATCAAGGAATGCGATACATTGTTTTAATAACCGTGTTCATATATTTGATGAAGGAATGCTAATTTTAAAATTGTTCATTCATTTAAAGAACTAAAGTTATTGAAATAATGAATTATATTCGTTAACTCAATACACAAAATATTCATTAATATAAAGAAAAAAAAACATTAATATTAAGATATTTTTTCATTGTTGTAATGAAATATTGCATTTTTAATTTAATGAACGACCATTCATTGATTTAATGAATCGGTTTTTAATTTATGAAAATAAAGTTATTGAATTAATGAAATAATTCATCGATCCAATGATTTTTTTTTAATGTTCAGCATTCATTAATATTATGTACAAAAATTTTTTCAGTGTATGTTCTGTTTCTATGTTCTATTCTATGTTCTATCTTAGTTCTATCCTACATTTTATTTATCCTATGTTCTATCTATGATCTATCTCTATGTTCTATCCTATTTTCTATTTATGTTCAATCTACAATCTATCTTTTTTCTATTCTATGTTCTATCTTAGTTCTATCCTACATTCTTCAATCTAGGATTTATTTTTTTTCTATTCTATGATCTGTCTTTATATTCTATTCTAATATGCTATTTCATATATTCTATTTCTAATATCCTATGTTTTATCTGCGTTATATCTATGATCTTTGTTCTATCGTATATTCGATTCAAAGTTCTATCTATCTATCTATCTACAATGTGTATCAAAAACAATGTCCTAAATCGACTTAGTTTTAACAATAGTATATTATACAATTCTCTAACCTTACCTATACCCTAGTATTATTTAAATCTCTGACCTAAATGACCAAGTATTACACATATACAAATCTCTAACCTATAACCTAAACAACCCAGTATTACACACACAAATCTCTAAACTTACCTATAACCCAGTATTATTTAAATATCTAACCTAAATAGTCCAATATTACATAAATCTTTAACCTAAATGACCCAGTATGACACATACAAATCTCTAACCTATAACCTAAACAACCCAGTATTACACACAAATCCCTAACCTTACCTATAACCCAGTATTATACAAATCTCTAACCTTAATGATACAATTCGACACATACCTTATCTTATTACCTATAACCCACTATTAAAAAAATCTCTAACCAAAACCTAAACAACCCAGTATTACACACAAATCGCTAACCTTATCTATAACCCAGTATTATACAAATCTCTAACCTTAATGATCCAATTCGACACATACCTTATCTTATTACCTATAACCCAGTATTAAAAAAATCTCTAACATGTAACCTAAACAACCCAGTATTACACACAAATCCCTAACCTTACCTTTAACTCAGTATTAAAAAAACCTCTAACCTATAACCTAAACCACCCAGTATTACACACAAATCCCTAACCTTACCTATAACCCAGTATATCATACAAATCTGTAACCAACCTAAATAACCCAGTATTACACACACAAATCTCTAACCTTACCTATAACCCAGTATTATACAAATCTCTAACCTTAATGACCCAATTCGACACATACAAATCTTATTACCTATAACCCAGTATTAAAAAAAATCTCAAACCTACAACCTAAAAACAACCCAGTATGACACACACAAATCTCTAACCTTACCTATAACCCAGTATTATACAAATCTCTAACCTTAATGACCCAATTCGACACATACAAATCTTATTACCTATAACCCAGTATTAAAAAAAATCTCTAACCTACAACCTAAAAACAACCCAGTATGACGCACACAAATCTCTAACCTAACCTATAACCCAGTATTATACAAATCTCTAACCTATAACCCAGTACATTATACAAATATCTAACCTATAACCCATTATATTATACAAATCTCTAACCTATGACCTATAACCCAGCATACTACGCAAATCTCTAACCTAATCCAATAGTATACAAATCTCTAACCTAACCTATAACCCAGTACATTATACAAATCTCTAACCTACGACCTATAACCCAGAGTATATTATACAAATCTTTAACCTAACCTATAACCCAGAGTATATTATACAAATCTCTAACCTAACCCAGTATTATTCGCAGGACGGCAGGAAGATGGGCTACGGCGCGATGCAGGGCATCCCGATGGTGGCGTCGTCGCCGGTCCGACACGATTCGCCCATCGGCGTCCATCCGCTCGAAGTGCAGGCCTACCAACCCCCGTGGAAGGCGCTCAGCGATTTCGCCCTGCACGCCGACCTCGATCAACCCCACCAACCGGCCTTCCAGCAGTTAGTCAATCAGGCAAGTAACTACGCCTAAGGATTTATATACATACATATGCGTTTTAGACGATTTAAATCTAATCTATTGACGGTTGTCGGATGACAGATGACAGATGACAGATGACAGATGACAGATGACAGATGACAGATGACAGATGACAGATGACGTTTGCTTTTGAAAAGGTGACTGGTGACAGGTGACAGATGTTAGACGATGTGTGACAAATTATAAACATGAGACAGATTGCATATTGTTGAAAGATGATATGTGATAAATGACAGATGACAGATGAAGTTTTTGCGAATGGAAGGGTGACTGGTGGCAGGTGACAGATGTTAGACGATGTGTGACAAATTATAAACATGGGACAGATTGCATATTGTTGAAAGATGATATGTGATAAATGACAGATGACAGATGAAGTTTTTGCGAATGGAAGGGTGACTGATGACATGTGACAGATGTTAGATGATGTGTGACAAATTAAACATGAGACAGAGTACATTGTTGGAAGACGATATGTGACAGATTTCATTATGGGAGGTGACAGATAGTCTTGTGGGAGATGACAGATGACATGGGATGATGACAGGTGACATATGTGACAGATCTCGTTATGGTAGATGACAGATGACCGAAGACAGATTGCATTGTTGGGAGATGAAATGTGACAGATTGCATTGTTGGGAGATGAAATGTGACAGATTGCATTGTTGGGAGATGAAATGCGACAGATTGCATTATGAGAGGTGACATATGATATATGACAGATGAAACATGTGACAGATCTCATTATGACAGATGACAGATGGCAGATGACGTTTGCTGACGAAAATGTGACTGGTGACAGGTGACAGATGTTAGACGATGTGTGACATATTATAAACATGGGACAGATTGCATATTGTTGAAAGATGATATGTGATAAATGACAGATGACAGATGAAGTTTTTGCGAATGGAAGGGTGACTGATGACATGTGACAGATGTGTGACAAATTAAATATGAGACAGAGTACATTGTTGGAAGACGATATGTGACAGATTTCATTATGGGAGGTGACAGATAGTGTTATGGGAGATGACAGATGACATGGGATGATGACAGGTGACATATGTGACAGATCTCGTTATGGTAGATGACAGATGACCGAAGACAGATTGCATTGTTGGGAGATGAAATGTGACAGATTGCATTGTTGGGAGATGAAATGCGACAGATTGCATTATGAGAGGTGACATATGATATATGACAGATGAAACATGTGACAGATCTCATTATGACAGATGACAGATGGCAGATGACGTTTGCTGATGAAAAGGTGATTGGTGACAGGTGACAGATGTTAGACGATGTGTGACAAATTATAAACATGGGACAGATTGCATATTGTTGAAAGATGATATGTGATAAATGACAGATGACAGATGAAGTTTTTGCGAATGGAAGGGTGACTGATGACATGTGACAGATGTTAGATGATGTGTGACAAATTAAACATGAGACAGAGTACATTGTTGGAAGACGATATGTGACAGATTTCATTATGGGAGGTGACAGATAGTCTTGTGGGAGATGACTGATGACATGGGATGATGACAAGTGACATATGTGACAGATCTCGTTATGGTAGATGACAGATGACCGAAGACAGATTGCATTGTTGGGAGATGAAATGTGACAGATTGCATTGTTGGGAGATGAAATGCGACAGATTGCATTATGAGAGGTGACATATGATATATGACAGATGAAACATGTGACAGATCTCATTATGGTAGATGACAGATGGCAGATTAAACATATGACTGTTCTCATTATGGTAGATAACAGTTTAAAGATTGATTAAACATGTGACAGATGTTGTTATATGGGAGATGAAATGTGACAGATTAAACGTGTGAATATATTGCATTATGGTAGGTGACAGATGATACGTCACAGATGACCTGTGACAGATGACGTGTGACAGATGACAGATGGAACTATTAGGAGATGACAAATGATAAGTCAGAGGTTGACGTGTGATGGGTTTGACAGGTGACAAGTAAAAATGTCAGTCAATATTGGACAAATGTCATAATTATCATAGAATACTGATGAAATTGCAAGAAAATAATAAAAATTACACCAAAAATTCACAAATATTGCACCAAAAATTGCACAAAAAATTAGCAAAAATTACACAAATATTACACAAAAAAAAACAAAAATTGAGCAAAAATTACACAAAATTACACAAAAAAACAAATATTACTCAAAATTTAGAAAAAATACAAAAAAATTACACAAGAGTTACACAGAAATTACACAAAAATTACACAAAAGTTACACAAAAAAAACAAATATCACTCAAAATTTACAAAAAAATTAAACAAAAATTTACAAAAATTACACAAAAATTACACAAAAATTACACACAAATTTCACCAAAATTTCACAAATATTACACAAAAATTACACAAAAATTACACAAAAATTACACAAAAATTACACAAAAATTACACAAAAATTACACAAAAATTACACAAAAATTACACAAAAATTACACAAAAATTACACAAAAATTACACAAAAATTACACAAAAATTACAAAAAAATTACAATTTTCGTATCTCATTACAGATGCACGGCTACGACCTGCCGCCACCATCGATAGGCCAAACGGCCGGCGGCGGCGCCCCCCATCACCCCTCGCTCATGGGCCAAGGGGGCGGCGGAGGGGGCGGCGGCGGCCCCGGCGCTCCCCCCTCCGACGTCATGACGCATCCGGACAGCACCGACAGCTACGTCACCTATCTAGACAGCGACGAATCGCTGCCGGCCAGCCCCTAACACCCGACGGGCAACTAGCCCCCTGCCCCCCATCACCTGGCGGGCTATTGGGGGGCGGTGCTCGTCAGTCGCTTGGCCGCCTGTTTGCCTTCTACTTAGGTATTTTTACGGACGATTTTTTTTCGTTTTTTTTCTCTTGTATTTGTACAGGGTGAGTCTGGGAATCCGGTGACCCCCCCGCGGACTTTGAGGCATTGTAACTCGGGATGTACGAGTCGTAGAAAGGCCGTTTTTTCGGCGAATTGTCGAAGAGAAATTTTCGCAAATTTTACGATTTTTTTGATATTTTATTTTTTATTATTTTCGTAATTATTGAATAACTTCGAGGGTTCCGTTGACTCATCTTGTATATTATCGGGCGTTTTTTTTATCGATTAACGGATTATGTTTGCAACTATACATTTTTATACAAGGTGTTTCTAGTGAAAATATGCAAATTTTCGATTTTTATACCCGACGGGGTGCTAGCCCCCCCTGGCCCCCCATCACATGGCGGGCTATTGGGTGGCGGTGATGTTTGCCTTCTACTTAGGTATTTTTACGGACGATTTTTTTTTTCGTTTTTTCTCTTGTATTTATACAGGGTGAGTCGGAGAATCTGGTGACCCCCCGAGGGCTTTGGGGCTTTATAACTCGGGAAGTACGAGTCGTAGAAGCGCCGTTTTTTCGGCGATTTGTCGAGGAGAATTTTCCTCAAATTTTACGATTTTTTTTAGTAAATTTTGGATAGTTTCAGAAAAAATAAATTAACTCGACTCATCTTGTATAGGAATATTGGGCGTTTGTTATTGATTAACGGATTGAAAATTAAAAAAAAATTATATACAGGGTGTTGCTCTTGAAAATTTGCATATTTTCGGCAGTTCAAATAGCCCGTTTCTCGATAAAATTCGCACGTATTGTAATTATTATTCTTTTTTTCGAAATTAATTAAATTCAAACTAAACAAAACTCGTTAAATTAATTCTATATTATTTAGAAAAAAATACCAAACCTGTTGTAACATAATTGTAACTTAAAAATAACCGAAAAATTTTTGAGTATCTAAAAATAATTTTTCGTTTGAAAAAAAAAGGTTCGAATTTTTACACCAAATTATTTACGAAAAAAAATAATTGACAAAAAATCGAGAAAAACTCAATAACTTGTAAATAGCATATATAATATTATATATGACATGATTTGTAAATATATACATAATTTAGGATCGGATTTTTTTCATTTTTTCAACCCTTTTATTCACTTTGAAACACATTACACATACAGGGTGTCCCTATACAGGGTGTTAATTAATTGAGTGCTGATACTTCAGGATGTGAATATTTATTATTAACTTTTAAGTAGTGAAACCGATAAGGTAAGTTTCATATATAAATAATTGATATTTAATCGATTTTGTTTATTTAACTAAACAATTAGATATCGTTTTTATTAGATTTTTTTTATTTAATTTTATAGATAATAAATGTAATTAAACCGGCGACCTTGTACTGAACAATTCAATGTTACGTAAAACATTTGAACGAAGAACAAACAAAAATATTTTTCCATTGATTAATTAATTAAATTAAAAAAAAATTGAGATAATTTTGGTTTTTTTATGTATAGTGTATGGATTGCTTTAGGTATAAAACTGCGTTTAATTAGGTTTGTTCCAGCAGGATGTTCTAAATTTCAATAAAGAACAAACAAAAATATTTTTGGAAGATTAATTTTATTAAAAAAATAATTTTAAAAGGTAATTGGATTTTTTTTGTGTAGTGTATGGCTCACTTTAGATATAAAATTGCATTTATTTAGGTTTATTCCAACAGGAATTTGTTCCAAATTTTAACCAAGAACAAACAAAAATATTTTTCGAATTAATAATAAAAAAAACATTTTTATTGGGTATTTTTTAGATAGTGTTTGGATTGCTTTAGGTACAAAATTAGGCATTTTTTTGAGGTTTGTTCCATCTAGATGTTCCAAATCATACAGGCACCCTTTAAAAAGAAGCAAATAATAATTTTATATAAATAATATTACAAAAGTATCTTTCAGGTAATAATTTAATAATAAAGCAGACCATACACTATAAAATTTTAAGCCACATTTTAAGCAATAAACAATCATACAGGGACTCTTTAAAAAGAAGCAAATAGTACTTTGATATAATAATATTACAAAAGTATCTTTCAGGTAATAATTTCACAATAAAGCAGACCATACACTATAAAATTTTAAGCCACTTTTTAAGCAATAAACAATCATACAGGGACTCTTTAAAAAGAAGCAAATAGTACTTTGATATAATAATATTACAAAAGTATCTTTCAGGTAATAATTTCACAATAAAGCAGACCATACACTATAAAATTTAAAGCGACATTTTAGGCGATAAACAAACATAGTAGGCGCCTAAAAAGATGTAAAGAACTTCCGTTTCCACTTGTAGACAATGTCCAGCTGAGAGGAGACCCTTCGAAACAAAACCCTTAGAGCTCGATAGGTACCCGAAAACGTGTTTATTGTCGAAAATTTATATCCTCTTCGGGCCTATCTCGCCTATCTAACTCGAAATCGGCGACGTTTAGGTCTACAGGGCGTCCGTTTGAACGGATTTTTCGATTTTCGTTGTCGATCCCACTTCTGATTTTCGAGAAAATTGCGATTTTTTTCCGTTTTTGAGCCATTTTCTATTAAAGTTTATATTGTCTATCCGATATCGTCGAGATAAAAGTATACAGGGTGTTTGCTAATAACATTTTTCGATTATTGTTTGCAATCCCACTTCTGAAATTCGAGAAAATTGCGATTTTTTCCCGTTTTTGAGCCGTTTTCTGTTGATGTTTATATTGTATATCCGATACCGTCGATATAAAAGTATACAGGGTGTTTGCTAATTAAATTTTTCGATTATTGTTTGCTATCCCACTTCTGATTTTCGAGAAAATTGCAATTTTTTTCTCGTTTTTGAGCCATTTTCTATTAAAGTTTATATTGCCTATCCGATATCGTTGATATAAAACTATGCAGGGCATTTACTAATCGAATTTTTCGATTATTGTTTGCAATCCCACTTCTGATTTTCGAGAAATTTGCTCTCTTTCTCTGTTTTTTACCTTCAATTCTACAGTCTATCCAAAATCGTTTATTTTTTACATATACAGGGTGGTTCTCTAACCAGATTTTTGTATTATTCTCGTCGATCCCACTTCTGATTTTCGAGAAAATTGCATTTTTTTTTTCGTTTTTGAGCCATTTTCTATTAAAGTTTATATTGCCTATCCGATATCGTTGATATAAAACTATGCAGGGCATTTACTAATCGAATTTTTCGATTATTGTTTGCAATCCCACTTCTGATTTTCGAGAAATTTGCTCTCTTTCTCTGTTTTTTACCTTCAATTCTACAGTCTATCCAAAATCGTTTATTTTTTACATATACAGGGTGGTTCTCTAACCAGATTTTTGTATTATTCTCGTCGATCCCACTTCTGATTTTCGAGAAAATTGCATTTTTTTTTTCGTTTTTGAGCCATTTTCTATTAAAGTTTATAATGTCTATCCGATATCGTTGATATAAAACTATACAGGTCGTTTACTAATCGAATTTTTCGATTATTGTTTGCAATCCCACTTCTGATTTTTGAGAAATTTGCTCTCTTTTTCTGTTTTTTACCTTCAATTCTACAGTCTATCCAAAATCGTTTATTTTTACATATACAAGGCGGTTCCTAACAAGATTTTTGTATTATTCTCGTCGATCCCACTTCTGATTTTCGAGAAAATTGCATTTTTTTTTTCGTTTTTGAGCCATTTTCTATTAAAGTTTATAATGTCTATCCGATATCGTTGATATAAAACTATACAGGTCGTTTACTAATCGAATTTTTCGATTATTGTTTGCAATCCCACTTCTGATTTTCGAGAAATTTGCTCTCTTTCTCTGTTTTTTACCTTCAATTCTACAGTCTATCCAAAATCGTTTATTTTTACATATACAAGGCGGTTCCTAACAAGATTTTTCTATTATTCCCGTCGATCCCACTTCTGATTTTGAAAAAAAAACCAAATAACTCATTTGTACCGGGTCTAAATATAGCGTCCCGTGGGATTCGAAAAACTACACGACCTCCGAATTGTTCCAGTTTGTTCCCCTTTATGTTCCGGCCCGCTTTCCGTCCGTTACTCGGCAAATTGACTTTGCTTGTATCCGGAAATGTTTACATTTTTCGCCTCGACCGGGTCGCCGGTTCGAACACGTTCCACGCGACATTCCGTATAGGTGAACGTTCGTCGGACGTATTTCGAAAATTTCGCGAAAATCCGAAAATCAGAAGTGGGATATTTACTAACATCAGCGAAGATTCTTTTACAACGCCTGCTGCGAGAATTCGATTCAAGGAGAGATTGATATGCATCGTGTAGGCTAATTTTATACCCATATCAAAGCCGCCTTTGATTTTCGAAAATTTCACGAAAATCAGAAGTGGGATTTTTCTAATATAACCAAGAATTACAAGGCCCACTGCGTCACACGAACTCGATTTTCGGAGAGTTTAATACGCATCGAGTAGGCTAATTTTTATCTATACCCATATCGAAGCCGCCTTTGAATTTCGAAAATTCCACGAAAATCAGAAGTGGGATTTTCTCAATACCTCCAATAGTTACAAGGCCCACTGCGACACACTCGCCCGATTTTCGGAGAAATTAATACGCATCGAGCAGACTATTGTTTACCAACATCGAAGTCGCCTTTGATTTTCGAAAATTTCACGAAAATCAGAAGTGGGATTTTTTAATTGCGATAATTTACAAGGCCATCTGCGACAAATGAAATAGATTTCCGAAGAGATAGACGCGCTTGCATCGAGTAGGCTAATTTTTACCTACGCCTATATCAAAGCCGCCTTTGATTTTCGCAAATTCCACGAAAATCAGAAGTGGGATTTTCCCAATACATCGAATAATTACAAGGCCCACTGCGACACACTCGCCCGATTTTCGGAGAGTTTGATACGCATCGAGTAGGCTAATTTTTACCTATACCCATATCAAGGCCGCCTTTGATTTTCGAAAATTCCACGAAAATCAGAAGTGGGATTTTCCCAATACCTCAAATAATTACAAGGCCCACTGCGACACACTCGCCCGATTTTCGGAGCGTCTGATACGCATCGAGTAGGCCAATTTTTTCTCCGTTTTTCAAGTGTTTGTGTACTCAACGTATTATATCTAAGCCGCCTTTGATTTCTCGCCAGGCCGCCTTCGATAAGATAAAATTACGGTTTTCCAAGAGTTTTTTTTCCTCTAGAGGAAATTACTTATGCTGAAGTACCCGATAAGATACGGGCGAATTCTAATCGAAAACCGTCGCTTAGAAATTATACCGGGCGTCTTCGCGTATGCCGAAGGAATCGATATCGCCGGTGATTAAATTAAATTAAAAATAAATTAAAGGCGCGTCGGCGATTAAAGGGCATTCTAGAACGTGATTCATACAAGAGAGGATGATGCGCAGATGTTTTTTTTTTGTTTTTCGATTTTTTTTACGTTCCATGACCATCTGCGATGTGCACGAATTGGATTCCCCTTTTTGTAATATATTTATAGGTGGTCATGGCCTGTTAGGATTATTAGGTGGTTTTATAGGAACTGACCGTTCCGTGTTAACTAAGGGGGTTAATGGATGACCCGCGAACACGCCAGACGAGGCTCTAGTCGATATATACAGGGTGATTTGTTTGTTTTGTTCTCGAATTTGTGAAGGGGTATTATAAGTTTAAATGGGACGCGCTGTATATATTTTGGGTGCTTGGAATGGGTTCGATGAGTGGGGTATAGGAGGTTTACTGTAGTGGAGATGCAGTGGGGAAAACTGGGGAATTTTGAGCACCCTGTATATATTTGTTTGAGGTTTATGAATTTTTTTGAAATAGTAGCGCAATGGTTTGAAATATCGTGATTATCTCGGATAGTAATTGAGATAGAAACGTGCGGTTTGTTTTGTTTTGTAGAAAAAAACGTTCTCTACAACTTTTGAGGAATCCAAATTTTTCGAAAATTGCTTCCTTTTCTAGTTATTTTGAGTTTTTTCGAGAATTATATGGGAACGAGTAATTGTATTGCAAATCAATACAATATCGCAATTATCTTGAAAACGAATTGAGATA